GTGAAATTTCAAAGATGAGAGGAACTTTACAATTTTGCAAGCAAACTGATAGAAAGAAAAGTAGTAATAAAAGTTAATTAACACTTTGCAGTAATAAAGAAAAAAGGTCAACTCAAAATTATATGTTGCGCCTTGCAATATCTAATTCATTTTTGCAATGCGTTCAAATATAGAATATTTATAGTTAGTTCGATGCAAAATTTTGTTGAAATAGATTTATTATAACAAATATACATTTAAAAATTACATTAATTAAAATAAAATATATTAAAATAATATTTATATATTGTTTGAAACTTTCTGTTAATATACGATATAAAATTTTTTTAAATGTTTTATTACATACACACACACACCCACACGCACACACACACACACACACACATAGATATGTATATGCTTAAATATAAAATACACAGCAGTTACATTCTACTTCTAACAATAAAAAAAATGCTTTTTCAGCGCTTAAGGACATAAACCGCACACGTTTGTTGATTATATTTATAATTTTTGTGTATTTATCATTTATTTCTACTTTCTTTTATTAGATTACTTCTATAATACTGATAGTTTTTCCATCACAGAAATGCGATGTGATTAAGAATTGTATTAAAATTAACAAATACGTGGTGATGCTACCCACCATCTAAAAGAAAAATAAAAAATAAATATATGTTTAATTATTTGACACAAATAATCGGCTACTCACCGCAGTGAGAAGCGTTGCATCCACAGTTAGACCTTTCGCGGAGAATGCATTTTTTCGCTGCAGTATTTGCACAGAAAATTGTTCCAACTATATAACATTAAAATAAATTAATAAAATTAATAAATAAAATAATAATAAATATAGAGCATTATGGGAAATATAATTATTAATCCAATAATTTAATATATAAAATACGGATTAGTATAGCATAATTAAATTACATGTTACTACCTCGTTTTTTATTTGCTTATCGCTGGTACTGTTAAGCAGATCGTGAACGGTGATGCCAATCTTTGTAGCTTGATCTTTACCGCCATCGCAAGCCCACACTATCAATACTATCTTCGTAATATAATATATCACGTTCAAGATGAAAAACCAGTACCAAAAGTATTCTTCTTCTTCAGCCATGAATACAACTATATAAAAGTACAGATTGAAAGTGATCTCAACGAAAGATATGACTATGGTGACGATGATCTGCAGACTGAAAATCATGTTAAGCATCTGCACTGTGTCGCTAACCATCAAATGTTGTTTCTTCAGGGCTTTAAGTTTCATCAATAGAAACGGATTCTTTTGTTCGTGGTATATCCGCCTGAGTAGATATGGCTTATCGCTCATTACTAGTTCTTGAACTTTCATCAAATTATCGTTAATTCTCTTAAAACAGACCTTCAATACACAAATGCAATTCATATACATCATGTCCATGTGAAACAACAACAAAGTAAGATACATTTCAAACATTGTTATGAAGATTGTTTTGAAAGGTATGTAAATGTAATATACAATTGTTATGATGACAAGAAGAAAGAAACCGAAGATATCCTTAACATGAATTAGTCTGGATAACTTTTCATACAATTTCGAGGGTAATTCCGAAGAGATCTCTAATACGGTTTGTAGTAAGAGCAGCCGTGGACGTCTCAAGACATACGTGACTATCGCTGTGAAACTACCAAGCACATAATAACTGTGACGCTCAAGAGAGCTAGGTACGCTTCTGTCTAAGATCATTCCAGAAATATGCAGTTTATATAAAATAATTATTTCGTAAATGCAGAAAGCGAAGATAATGATGGTTGATAGAATGTAATATGATTCTGAAGCTTCGAAAGTCGAATTGTTAATCTTGTATGGAAATATTCCAAGAATGCGGCAGAAGATGAAGCAAGGATACATTAAGGATTGAAAGTCCGTAGCGTAGAAGAGTCGCCATCTTTTTCGCATATCGCTGTTGGCTTGTTTCTGGAATTTTAATAACGAAACATAACATTTTACGGCAGAACAATAATTTAACATAGAGGAAGGTCACCAATACCGACATACCACTTTGGTTTTAAACAATATTTCTTAAACAAAAGGTAAAAATACAACTTCAAAAACATAAATACAAACTAAAAAGTGTTTTCTATCAGATAGTATAAGCAGTTTTTATAATACTGTTTGCAATTTTGCAATAATTAAGTTTTTCATAAGTTATGCAAAAATGAGCGTCTGACAAAATGGGCTCCAAAACTGACATAGTAGGTAATAATGCCAACATTCCTATTCTATAAATAAAGATATATCCTATTCTGTAAGAAAAACTAATTTATGAAACTATAAACATTTAAAATGACATAATATTATCAATAATACAGTCACTATTATTTTAATTACGCAATTTGCACTGTAAGAATTTTCTTCTCGAATTCATAGAATTTGTTTTTAGCTGGTATAGAAATAAGCCACAAATATATGAATTATGAGTTTGTATTTCTTTAATTAGCTAAACAGATCACGGTTTTATTAGTATTAATAAGATGCAAATGTTAGTTTCTAAGAAATAAGGGGATGTCGCTCTTTAGAAGACCTATGTCAATATCGGTGACCTTCTTCTAGCGCATTATACACATAACATAAACATTTATTTAACACATTATTAATTTACATACATACTTTGTCATCAGAGTAAACGTCGTTGCGGAAGTTTCTCCTATAAATGTGATTTCGAAATTTATTTTTTAACGGCGATTGCATAATTCCTTCTTTCCGATCTATACTTGATAAGTTTAACTTGAAAACTGCATTGAGTAGTAAGGAATGCTTCAGAGATCTTATGTTAGGCGTAAAGTAACCATGTGCTATTCGATCCGTATTTGTCACTCACAAAGTGAAGTAAAAAAGTGAAGTGTATATAAAAAAAGTTATTGTTGCAACGTACTGGCCATATATCAAATCATGTAGACACGTTCAAAAGGGAAAGCATGAATTGCATGCTATGATTATGAATTAATAATTTTTAATTAATAAAAATTGATTAATAACGATTCTAACATATTACATATTTATATTGTGCATACAGGATGTTCCAAAATATTTTTCAACATGATCTAATATTTGTATAAACACACACACTCGCGCACGCGTATGTATACAATCATAATTTTCAATGAAAAAATGCATAAATATATATTTTCAACTAAATAAAAAATATATGCCAATGAGAGAGATATTCATTTTTTATTTTAATATTGACCAGATTATAAATTTTTGTAAATTTATTGGAACATAGTAAGCTGTTTTGAAATTGTATATAATATTATTCACTAACGTGTTAAATTATACTGTATATATCGTTATAAGAAATTTTGATATTGCAGTAGGAGATGAAAAGCATGGAGACATAATGCTAATAAATTGAGCATAAAAGGTAAAATCAATGATACTATCTCAATTAAAATTAATCTATCTAATTATTTAGGTGAAAACAAATTGATATATTTCCCCAACTGATAAAATTAACTGTACGGTTTTATGTTTGCGCGCGCGCGCACACACAAGGACTCACTTTGATCAAGCATCTCGAAGAGATGGATATCCGACCATGTCATCTCCACGCGGTACACCTTAGATAACGCGCCGGCGATACTTAAACTTTGAAGGTTCGTAACTCAGAAAGATCTTAAGCAAAAAGGGTTTCTAACCAGTGTTTCGGAAACGTCTTGACACCAGCTTTAAGAATATGTAATAGAAAATAGGAGTTTCCATTTAAGATTTCAAAGTTGACCTTCACGATGTCCTTCAAAGTCACATGAAAGTCATTTCAATATAACCATATAATAGACTTGATATATTAAAACTTTTGTATTGAACATTTTTTTCCATAATCATTATTTTCCAAGATATTTAACCGTTACGGAACTTTCTCCCATTACTGTATGTTTATCAACTCACTGTGATTATTAATGCGAGCGTAAAATTGTAAGATATTATTTTAATTTTTGTTTTCAAGTTTCTACAAATATATTAATCAAATCAAACAACTTTTTCATCTATACCTCACAAGTTGTAATTTAATATTACGAACAGTTATTGCAACGAAGAATGATTTTACTTTGTTATATGTTAGTTATCAAGTAACCATGGTGCTCTTCGATCTGTTATCTATAAAATACAGTTTTTACCGTAATCATATATAATTTCTGTAAAGTGCTAACTATACATTAGTAACATTATATTTCTCAGAATAAAAAGTATCGAGATTACATAGTTAAACAGATTTATGATTCTTACAAATTAGTTAGTTACAGTTTTCTGGTTCGGTACATTTTTTATTGTTCATATAGAATATTTAAGAAACGCCTTCTTTTTACTACGACTTTAAGATTTAATATTCTTAGTATGAAGTACTCAAGCACATGTCTGTGCGTAAGTTCTAATAAATAATATTCATATCATCCATTTAACTTGATCAGTAGTATTTACTTATCAGACTTAATTTACAATATTATATTAAATTACAAAGTGTTCTCATTAATGTATTAAAATACTACAAACTAGATTTTCATAATTATTAAATATTATAATATTATATATCGAAATCTATTCAATTTTACTGCGGATATTCTGAGAAACTCTGATATCGCTATAGTGATACATAAAAGGATAATGCATTAATAAATTGAGTTTTATAGTAATATACAACATATTTATTATAAAATTGATTAGAATTGATGATATTATTTAGGTTAGAACAAATAAATTTATTTTTTAGTTGATGAAATTAACAGATGCGATACAATTTATGGACAAAAATTAATTTCAAAGTTACCGTCCTATTGTATTTGAAGATTAACAAAATAGGTTAATATGTTGTTTTATACGTAAATAATATTAGTAATAATAAATCGATTACATTGTATCTTTGGAAAACTTAATCGCATTATTATTATTTGCACGTAAAATTATAGATATATGGAAAAAAGTTTTGTTTTATTTATTTTCTTTTATAGAATTACATTATTCACGTAATATTGACTGTAGACTTTTCATCGCAAGAGTGGAACATGATCAAGAATTGTAGCAAAATTAACATATATGTACTAATGGTACCCACCATCTAAAAACCAAATAAAATAATAACTTGTTTATTATTCCAAATAAAATAGTTATACAAAATATATTTCAATAACTAAACGACGATCGCTTACTTACTGTAGCGAGAAACGTTGCGTCTATATTGAGACCTTTGACGGAAAATATATTTTTGCAATGTAACATTTGCAAGGAAAAGGAATGCAGCTGCAATATTAGATTGCAAAGTTATTAAGTACATAATTGATAAACGTAATTTAACACAAGTAAATTTAATAATATATAGCACCAAATGTTGTAAGAGGAGTATACACAATTAATTTCATTTATACTACCTCATTTTTTATTTGCTCATCTTTAGCGCTGTTGAGAACGTCGTGAACTGTAGTGCAGATTTTTTGAGCCTGATTCTTGCAAGTCTCGCAGGCCCACACAATTAACGCCAGTTTTATTATGTAATAAATCATAGCTGATAGGACGAACTCATCAACTTGTGCATTTAAATTGATGACCAACCCATCATGCCACTGAACTAGATAAATATACAGTTCTAGATTGATTTGACAAAAAGTTATGATTATCGAAGCAAGTAGTTGCACACTGAAGATCCTATTGAGCATCTGTACTGTATTGCTGATTATCATATGTTGTTTCTCCAAAATCTTAAGCTTTATTATTAAGAATGGATTTCTTTGTTCGTAATAAAACAAAGAGACACGTGATTCACTGTTTACTATGAGTTCTTGCATGTGTTGAAGATTGTTATTAATGTCCTTGAAACAAGCTTTTAATACACAAACACAGTTTATGTACAGCATATCCATCTGAAATATCGATAGAATTGCATATGTTGTAAACATCATGTTCAAGATATCAATGCGCATTTTATAGAAATACGTAGAAATTAAGCGGATAAGGTAGAAGAAACCGAAGATGTCCTTGGTGTGGATAAATCTCGATAACTTATGGTACGATTTCGGAGACAGTCTCGAAGAGACATCCATTACGGTTTCAAGCAAACGCATTCGCGGATTGCTCAAGACGAGTGTAACGATTGTTACAAGAGGAATTAATATGTTGAAGCAGTAAGCCTCAAGAGACCCAATTGTAGCTTCAAAGTTTATTTTTGTAAAACCTTTGTTGTACTTTAAGAGCAACAAGTCGAAAACGCATAAAACGCTAGTAATAGTAATTGATAAGATATAATGCGATTTTGAAGTCTCAATAGTCGAATTGTTAATCTTGTACGGGAGCAATCCAAGAATACGACAAAAGATGAAACAAGGATACATCAAAGTTTGAAAATCCGTAGCGTTAAATAGCGACCATTTTTTTCGCATGTTTTTCTCTCGTTTCTGAAATTTTAATAACGTACTGAATATGGTTAGTGTGGTTCGAATGGTGTGTGTAAGTAAACAATAAACATCTGTATTATATGAAATACAGCTTAAAAATTATTAATCGTGTTTGTCAACTCACTGTCATTATGAATGCGAGCGGGAGAATTCTTTTTAAAATTTTTGTTTTTACGTTTTCACTATGAACTTGTCGATCGAAATAATCTATTTCTTTTCACATACACCTTACAAGTTGTTATTTGATACTACGAGCAGTTATTGCGACGAAGAGTGACTTTACTTTGTTATATGTTAGTTGTCAAGTAACCATGGTGCTCTTCGATCTATCTATAAAATACAGTTTTTAACGTAATCATATGTAATTTCTGTAATGTGCTAATAATACATTATTTAGGGTCCAACAATGAACCATGTAAATTTCAGAGATTTATATCTCTCTCAATTATTGAGTTGAAGATCTGAGTTTTGGCATACAGTTTATGAATTTATTGGCTGCATACATACTGTAAATAATAACTCTTAAATTATTTTTTAAGTTTAGCCATAATTTCGATTATTTTCAAAAAACGGGAAGTGATTCATTGCGTACAAGGGATGTGTACACAATGAACCATGCTATTTTTAATAATAATCGCATGTTTTATACTGCGAATTGTTGGGATTATTTTAGTTTTGCTATATTTTAACATGTTTACTTAGAAAATAGATAATTATAAGATGATAAGGCCGACCGCCGCATTTTTCTGCCAGATTCTTTCGTTTTGAGTGAAACTCGAATGAGTACATTTTTAATAAGATTTTAGATGGGGAGGGGTCGTATTTTATTTAAATAATTACCACAATGAATTGTTATTTTGAAGGTTATCGTAAAAAAGGTTATGTGCCATGGTTCATTGTTCACTACATCAAAATGATTCATTGTAGACCACCTAACCTTTTCCACGATAATCTCCAAAATAATGCGGTAAAATAATACAACAGAAAAAAGTTGCTTACAGAATAATAAAGCCAAATGTGCACACAAAACTATTACACAATGAAAAAAATGATAGGTATAACAACAAAAACATAAAAAATGCGTAAAAGTTACGGAAAAAATTTACTTTGCAACCAAAAATTCTTAAAATGTGATATTACATGGATATTCATTGGCGCAATTTGCCAGCCGACTGGGGAGCCGAGGAGGAGTTCAAATGCAAGTCGCTGTGCATGATAACAGTACAATCTGGTAATGCCGCATTTACGAAATATCGCAATGGTTCACAGTGTACTACTAGTTCACTGTTGGACCATCTACCCTAAATTTAAAATTGATCAAAATTATTTAAATTGGAATAAATTAATATATTTTTTAGCTGGTGAAATTAACAGATCTGATACAATTTATGGACAAAAATTAATTTTAAAGTTGTTGTCTTATCATATTTCACGGTTAATAAAATAAAAAAGTATGTCGTGTGTGTCATACTCAAATAATATTAATAATATGAATCGATTACATTACGTCTTTGAAAAACTGAATCGGATTGTTATAATTAGTATGTAAAATTATAGACATATGGGAAAACTTTTTATTTATTATTATTTATTTTCTTTTACGGAATTACATTATTCTTGTAATATTGATTGTAGAATTTTCATCGCAAGAATGGGAAATGATCAAGAATTGTAACAAAATTAATGTATATGTGGTAATAGTACCCACCATCTAAAAGCAAAATAAAATAGTTATACAAAAACATACATTTCATTAATTAAAGCAACGATCAATTACTCACTGTAGTGAGAAACGTCGCATCTATAGTGAAACCTTTGGAGGAAAATATATTTTTGCGATGTAATATTTGCAAGGAAAAGGACTGCAGCTGTAATATTAAATCGCAAAGTTATTAAACACAAGATTGATAAATGTAACACAAATAAATTTAATGTATAAAAACAAAATGTTATAAAAAAATACTTATATTAAATTTCATTCTTATTACCTCATCTTTGATTTGCTCATCTTTGGCGCTGTTGAGAACGTCGTGAATTGTAGTGCGGATCTCTTGAGCCTGATTCTTGCAAGTCTCGCAGGCCCACGCAATTAACGCCCATTTTATTATGTAATAAATCATAGTTAATAGGATCAATTCACCAGCTCGTCCATTCAAACTGATGACCAACAACCCATCATGCCACTCGATTAGATAGATATACATATGTAGACTGATTTGACAAAAAGTTAAGATCATCGAAGCAAGTAGTTGCACACTGAAGATCCTATTGAGCATCTGTACTGTATTGCTGATCATCATATGTTGTTTTTTCAGAATCTTAAGCTTCATTATTAAGAATGGATTTCTTTGTTCATAACAAAACAACATAGGGGCACATGGTTCACTGTTTACTATGAGTTCTTGCATATGTTGAAGATTGCTATTAATATCCTTGAAACAGGCTTTTAATACACAAATACAGTTTATGTATAGCATATCCATTTGAAATATCAATAAAACTGCATACGTTGAAGACATAATGTTCATGATATCAATGCTCATTTTGTAGAAATATATAGAAATTAGTAGGATAACGTAGAATAAACCGAAGATGTCCTTGATGTGGATTAATCTGGATAACTTTTGATACGACTTCGGAGACAGTCTCGAAGAGACGTCCATTATAGTCTGAAGCAAGCGCATTCGCGGATTGCTCAAGACAAGTGTACCGATTGTTAAAAAAACAAATAATATGTAGAAGCCGTAAGCCTCAAGAGATGTGGTTGCAGTTTCAAAGTTTATTTTTGTAAAACCTTTGTTGTACTTCAAGAATATCAAGTGCATAACGCATAAAGCACTAGTAGCAGTAATTGATAAGATATAATGTGGTTTTGAAGTCTCAAAAGTCGAATTGTTAATCTTGTACGGGCATAATCCAAGAATGCGACAAAAGGTGAAACAAGGATACATCAAACTTGGAAAATCCGTTGCGTTAAATAGCGATTTTTTTCGCATATTGTTTTTCTCTCGTTTCTGGAATTTTAATGACGTTGAATATGGTTAGTCAAATGCTGTGTGTGAGTAAACAATAAACATGTGTGTTATTTGTATTATATATAGCTCAAAGATTATTAATCATGTTTGTCAACTCACTGTAATTATTAATGCGAGTGTAAGATTACAGAATTCTTTTTTAAATTTCTGTTTTTAAGTTTTCACTACGAACGTGTCAATCAGAATAATCTACTTTTTTCTCATCTACACCTCACAAGTTGTTATTTGATACTACGAATATTATTGCGACAGAGTGACTTTATTATATGTTAGTTGTTAAGTAACCATGGTGCACTTCGATCTCTTATCTATAAAACGCAGTTTTTAATGTAATCATATGTAATTTCTGTAATGTGCCTACAATTCATTATTAACATCGTATTTCTCAGGATAATAAGTAGCGACTACATAGTACTTGAACAGATTAATGATTCTTACATATTAGTTAATTATAATTTCCTGGTTCGGTGCTGCACATTTTTATTGTTCATATGGAATGTTTAAGATACATCTGTTCTTTTTACCACGACTCTTCAAAATTTAATATTCTTAATTTGAATTACTCGTGCACGTGTCTGTATGTATATCATACTGTATGTTGTAATAAAAAATATTTGGGATATTTATTTAATTTGGTCAGTAGTTATTTATTTTTCGAACTTAATTTAGAATTTTATGCGTAATTACAAAATATACTGTAAACCAGATTTTCTTAATTATTAAATAATATTGTACACCGAAGTACTATTGAATTTTATTGTATGTATTCCGAGAAACTCTGATATCACTGTGATAAAAGACAAAAAGGCATTAATGACTTGAGTATTATAGTAATATATAGCAGGTTTATTATATAAAATTGATGTTATTATTTTTAGATTTGAAAATTAATATATTCTTTCAGCTGATGAAATTAACAGATGTGATGACAATTTACAAAAATTAACTTCAAAGTCGTTATCCTATCGTACTTGAAGAGTAACAAAATAGAATAGTATGTTATCAGACGCAAATGATATTAGTAATAATAAGCCGATTACATTGTGCCTTTAAAAAACTTAATCGTTATTATTATAATTTGTACGTAAAATTCTAGATATATGGAAAAAAAATTTGTATTTATTTTTTTTTTATGGAAATACATTATTCATGTAACATTGATTGTAGATTTTTCATCGCAGGAATGTGACGTGATCAAGAATTGCAAAAAAATTAACGTATATGTGGTAATGGTACCCATCATCTAAAAGCACAATAAAATAGTTATATAAGATACATTTCATTAATTAAAGCAAATAATTCGATTACTCACTGCAGCGAGAAACGTTGCATCTATATTGAAACCTTTAGCGGAAAATATATTTTTGCAATGTAATATTTGCAGGGAAAAGGACTGCAGCTGTAATATTAAATGACAAAATATTTAGTACAAGATCGATAAACGTTACTATACTCAAGTAAATTTAATAAGTAAATTTATATAGAAACAAAATATTACAAGAAAAATATATACATTAAATTCCATTTTTATTACCTCATCTTTGATTTGCTCATCTTTGGCTCTGTTAAGGACGTCGTGAATTGTAATGCGGATCTCTTGAGCCTGATTTTTGCCGGTCTCGCAAGCCCACACAATTAACACTAATTTTATTATGTAATAAATCGTAGTTGATAAGAACAACTTACCAACCTGTCCATTCAAATTGATGACCAATCCATCATGCCACTGGATCAGATAGACATACAGATTTAGACTGATTTGACAAAAAGTTATGATCATTGAAGCAAGTAGTTGCACACTGAAGATCGTATTCAGCATCTGTACTGTATTGCTGATCATCATATATTGTTTTTTCAGAATCTTAAGCTTCGCTATCAAGAATGGATTTCTTTGTTTGTAATAAGACAACATAGGAACGTGTGGTTCACTGTTTACTATGAGTTCTTGCATGTGTTGAAGATTGTTATTAATGTCTTCGAAACAGGTTTTTAATACACAAACGCAGTTCATGTACAGCATATCCATCTGAAATATCAATTGAACTGTGTACATTGAATATATCGTGTATATAATATCGAAGCTCAAATTATAGAAACATGTAGAAATTAGGCCGATAATGTAGAAAGAACCAAAGATATCCTTAGTGTGGATTAATCTGGATAACTTTTGGTACGACTTCGGAGATAGTTTCGAAGAAATCTCCATTATAATCTGAAGCAAGCGCATTCGCGAATTGCTCATGACGAGTGTGACGATTGTTAAAAGAGTAATCATTATGCTGAAGCAGTAATTCTCAAGAGACATGGTTGCTGTCTCAAAACTCATTTTTGTAAAATTTTTGTTGTACTTCAAGATTATTAAGTTGAGAACGTGTAAAACGCAAGTAACAGTAATTGATAAGATATAATATGGTTTTGAAGTCTCAAAAGTCAAATTGTTAATCTTGTATGGGAATAATCCAAGAATGCGACAAAAGGTGAAACATGGATACATCAAAGTTTGAAAATCCGTAGCGTAGAAGAGCCGCCATTTTTTTTGCATTTTGCTTTTTATTCGTTTCTGAAATATCAACGACTAATATGTAACTAAATATGATTTGCAAAATGCTATATTTGAGTGAACAGTAATTTATGTTCTGTAAGAATCAGCCTAAAATGATTAATTACCTTATCTACTCACTTCGATATCAAACTGTAAACGAATCGTTGAAGGATTCTTGTTTTAAATTCAATTTGAGTTTATTATTTTACTATAAACCGAAATAAACTTCTCTTTATTTGCACTTGACAAGATTCTGTCTAATACTACAATCAATTTCTGCCACGATGAGTGAGGCATTACTTTGTCGTCTGTTAGTCGTAAAGTAACCATGGTGCTCTTCGATCCATCTGTAAAGTACAGTGTTTAATGTAATAATATCTAAGGAAAACGTACTAATTAATGAACAATTAGTGGACTTGACCCAATTATTGAATGAAATTTGAAAAAAACAAAAATTTTAAATATTAAATTTTTAATGATATGTACGATTTTAAATAAATTTGGTGTTTATAAAAATTTAATAAAATAAATTTATTTGAAGAGTCGTACGTATCACAATATTTGAATTTTTTATCATGTTGCCCAAAGATTGTTTTATGTCCACTAACTAGTTTATTTGTTTTAAATGTTATCATTTGCTAACAATACATTTAATTATACAAAGATGGAAGCATTGACTACATAATATTTAAAGACTAGTGATTTTAAAAAATTGTTAATAACAACTATTTCAGTACTATATGGTACATTTTTATATGTATGTTGAGATTTTATATAATGTTATTATATAAAGTGTTGAGAAACTTATGCCCTTTTGTTCTTTTTACCACGACCTCAAGATTTAATTTGAGATTTTCTTTGAGATTTTTCAATGGCGATTGTATAATTCCTTTTTCTATACTTAACATCTTTAACTTAAAAAGTGCAAGTAGTTGCTGTAATTTAAATAGCGAGAAATAATCATATATTAGGTGTGAACTATAGCGTTATTCGATCCGTTGACCTCCACAAAAATTCATGAAGAAATTATACATATAATTAAGATCCAGTTAGACCGTTTAAGTTTAAAGCAAGGATTTCTGTATGTTGTGTTTCTCACATATACGGTCCTATAAGACTTAATATTGTAAATTATATATATCTTTATGAATTTCCATGTACCGATTGTATATGTTGTTCCAACATACAGACCATACATCATCCCTTGTAGACACACTCACAATAAGAAGCATAAAATGCATAATATGAATTAATAACTCTTAAAGAATGATTAATAACAATTCTGATTTATTACTCTTTTTTATTGTGCAGGACGTTTGAATATGTTCTTCACAACTTCAAAGTCTAATATTTGTAATTATATAAACACATCCGCACACGTGTATATACAGGGTGATCCAGATCAACCCCACGAGCCGGCATGTATGTATTTCTCATGAAAAACTGAGTTGAAAATGTTAATAGCAAAATGTTGAGGTGTCAATAGTTTTTGAATGGTGAGCCTTTGAAGTCGTCCAACCACGGCGTGTAAAGTTCGCGCCGTCAGGCATGGCGCAATCAATCTGCCGGCCGCGATCGCGCTTTGACGGATATTGCTAAATGTCATAAATGAGTATTGAAAAGGTTCCGTGAAATCTCTATTAACGTATATTGCTGTATTCTTAAATTAAATTTAATTAACGAAGAGTAATTTCAATTGCAAATTCGATAAAACATCATTAAAAAGTATTTTTATGAGATACACATTTTAAGTAATAAACAATTATTAATAAATTAAATCAATATTCATTAAATCATCTAAACAAATAATATTAAAAACATCAGTCAACATTTCCAAAACTTCAAATAGTTCTGTCATAAACAATATTAGAAAAATTTTAATAATAATAAAATTGCATTTTAATGTAATTTTTAGTAACAATACAACTTATTATTTGCTTACTTCGATTCCTTCACTGTAATAATACTTTCCATTCTTCTTATCGTAATTCGGAATTTTGTTCATTTCATTTCATAAATATAAGATATTTATTTATATCAAATGCGAATTTCAAATGTAAATTCTTTCTACTATTGTTTATGACAGAACTGAATGAAATGAACGAATTTCCGAATTATGATATGAGAAAAAAGAAAAGTATTATTACAGTGAAGGATCGAAGTAAGCAAATAATAAGCTGTATT